CCCGCCCGGGGGTGGGTGGGGGGCCCGGCGCTCGCCGCTGGGAGTCCCGCGCCTGCTCGCCTGCACCGCCCTGGCGCTCTCCCTCCTGCGTGGGTCTGGCGCTGCGCGGCGGGCTGGGGGGGGCCACCCTAGGCGCTGGACCGAAAGAGAAGGGCTCGTAGCCCAACCCAAGCAAACACCTGAGGCAAGGGAGACTGGCTCTGGCAGGGTTGGAAAGCCGGGAGGAGGTGGAGCAGCAAGGAGCCCCTCCCTCCCACTCTCCGCGGAGGGCTGGTGACCCTCCTGGCCATCCCGCAGAGGCCATGCCCGAGGCGAGCGCGCGGCGAGAAGGTTCTTTTTCCTAATCTTTACAAGGATGGCTCATCCTGGGTTCAGCTCGGGCCCATCCTGTTTGTGCGCCTTTCCCGCAGAGGGTAATTATACAGTGTGTGTGTGTGTGTGTGTGTGTGTGTGTGATAGGGTTGTACTAATGATGGAAATCCTGTCCGCCTCCTTCCTCGGAGAGAGGTGTGTCTCACTGCACAAAGAGCAGGAAAGGTCTGTTCTTCTGGAGACAGACATGGCCGAGACTAATGAGTCTCTTCCTCTGCGGGGTGGTTCCTGATCCACCCAGCCCTGCGTGGCCAGGGTAGAAAATGTGCACGCATGCTGTCCCGACACATGCACCAAAGAAATGGCCTTTTCTAGGGTTGGTGCTGTTTGCAAGTCAGAGGGGGCAGCTTTCTGATCCTTCCCACTCTGGCTTCTACAGTTCTCTTCCCCTGAGAGGACCTTTCCATCTACTCAGCTCTACAGCAAAGCTTGCTCTCTGAGGGCCGGCCACACCAATTTGGTTTTCATAAAGCCTAGGCCACTCTTCATACCCTTAATTACATTGTGTCTTCCTAGACTGGTTCCCTTGGAGTGATTGGTCTTTCTAGCCCCTTTCTCCCAGTGTCCTGATCTGGGCTCACTATCTGAGGAAGTTCCCAACAATCTCACACAGGTGAATGGAGGCCTCACTGGTAAAAACTGCACACTGTAGACTGCAAACAAATAACAATGGCCCGGGAGGGGAGCACCAAAGCTTCCTTGCAGAACAGGCAAAGGTGTCGCCCTAATGACACCTTTGCTTTATGCTCCCAAACATCCAGGGGGCTCCTGTCTGGCCCTAGTACTCCAGGGAAAAAGGTCAAACCAACCATTTGAATCATCTCTCCATCATCCTTGCCTCCAAAGAGATAGACTCCAGCTTTTTTTTTTAATTTATTTATTTTTTCGAGAGGTTTTTGCTATAGGGCGCGTGCGCTCACCAGACAGACAGAGACAGAGAGACAGAAAGTGAGAAATCACCCCCCAGGGAGGATGGTCACGCCGCAATCCCTTCTCCTCCATTCTCCTCTCAGGGTCTTGGGCACGCACACACACGCGCCCGGCGTGAGTTTTAAGCCACCGGGTCCGAGACGTGAACCGCAGTCGACTACGTGGGAGTCCAGCGACATACCCATTACGCTAACTGCTGGTTCCCAAGATAGACTCCAGCTTTAAGACTCACTGAAGGATTTGCTGCTATTGGGCTTCAGCACTAAAAGAAGACAGTTCCTGAACTGTGGGCAGCTGCACAGCTGTTTCGGGGGTTAGGGTGTGAAGGACACTAAAAACTTCCTCTTCACTGTATCAGCCATGATGCCTGCCCTGCTAAAGCTGTCAGTCTCACAAGGAGATGGCCCATGGGTGGAGGGAAGGAAAGACCCGGGGTGCTTTGGGACAATGTAACCTTGATGAGTGACCAGAAACCATCCCCTAAAAAGTGAACACCAGAGAGATCAACTTGTTCAGGCTCTCAAGACAAAAGACAGGTTGACCTGTTTGGGAACAGACATGATTGTAAGGTTGAGGACAAGAAGCGTGAGAGGAGGACCAAGGCGACTAAAGTTATGCTCTAAACTTCATCTTCTAAACTCCCGAAACACTCAGGAAAGTAGAGGAGAGATTTGTCACAGAATGACCAGGAACTATCATAAAGGTAGTATAAGAGAAAGACATAAGAGAAACCAAGGAAATATCTCTCCCATAAGTGAAAAAAAACAATCCTTCACCATCCACAGATAGTACAATGGAACTCATGGAAATGTTTGATAGAGAATTCAGAATATTCATAGTGGCAAAACTCAATGAAATGATGGGGCTGGCAGGTGGCACGGTGGTTGGGGGCGCTGGATTCCCACATGGCCAACCATGGTTTGAGTCTTGGACCTGGTGGCTTGCTTTCTCACTTTCCTTTTCTCTCTTGTTCTCACTCTGTCCCTTCCTCAAATAAAAATAAATAAAATTGGGACCAGCAGTTAGCATAATGGCTATATCTCTGAACGTCCAAGGAGCTGACCGCGGTTCGAGTCCCGGACCTGATGGCTTACACTCATGCCGGGAGCATATGCATGCGTGCCCAAGATCCCGAGAGGAGAATGGAGGAGAAGGGATTGCAGCGTGGCCAACCCCCCTGGCGGGGGGGTGATTTCTTGCTTTCTATCACTCTGTCTCTCTCTGTCTTTCTAGCAAGCACACATGGAACCCATGGACACATGCACCCTATAGGAAAAAACTCTAAAAAAAAAAAAAACTCTCCAAAAATAAATAAACAAAGTAAAATAAAATAAATGAGATGCAAGAGGTGAGAGACAATGAACTCCAGAAGATGCAGGAGAAAAGAGAACAAGTTCCAGGAGGTGAGGAAGTTCTTGCAGGATCTGAAAGAGGAAATATACACCATAAAAAAGAAACGGAACTGTTAGAGATGAAGGCTATTATAGAGGACATCAAATCCTCCCTCGATAGCATTAAAAGCAAATTAGTAAGTGCAAAAGATTGAATCTTGATGTTGAAGGCAAAACCTCCCCCTCCTAAAATAAGAGAATACTATAAGAAAAATACTAGATACAATTAAGCACCCAAACATCCAGATAATCAGTATCCCAGAAGGTGAAGAGACCACTAAGGGCATTGACGATCTATTCTATGAAATCCTGGAAGAAAACTTCCCAAATCTAGAGAGGCATTCACATATCCAGACCCAAGAAATACAAAGGATCCCACCTAGAATCAACCCAAGAAGATCTTCTCCAAGGCACATCATAGCCAGATTGGCCAAATCCACAAAGACAGGATACTAAAATTAGCGAGAGAAACATCAGGTTACTTATAAAAGTTATCCCATCAGGCTAAATCAGACCTCTCATCAGAAGCAATGTGAACAAGGATAGAATGGGAAAATATATTCCAAGTGTTAAGTAAAAGACAGTTTCAACCAAGAACACTATACCTGGCAAGATAATCCTTTGTAGGGAAGAAAAGATTAAAAAAAAAAAATTCTCAGATAAACAAAACCTGAAAGAATTTACCAACACCAGGCCAGCTCTTCAAGAAGTTCTAAAAGGAGTGCTTTACCAAGAAAACTAAAGAAACATGCAGAAATAAGAGAACAAAAAGCAACCAAGAACATGACCAACTTAATGCTAGGGACAAGAAATATCAATAATAACATTGAATGTTAACTTCTAGGACTTAATCGGAAATATCAGGCCACAGTAACACTGCAAATTTAACAGAAGAAAGATTAATTCCATAAGACTGAACTGGGGAAATAGAAATTTCTGACTCTTGCATAAAACATTACTGTCTTTTTCTTTACTGTGCTTTGTTTTCCCAATGTAAGGGGTTTGCTTTCTTTTGAGCTATTGATAGGCTTAACAATTTGTTAAAATGTTTTTTCGTCTTGTTTATTTGTCTCTTTAAATGGAAACATAAACTTTTCTCCTTTCTTGACCCCTCTCAAATGGGAAAATATTTGGGAGTTTTATTATTTTGTGGCAGAATGGTTATTTGCACAAGTTCAATAATACCTGCTGCCTTGAATCAGAAGTTGGAAGTACTCATTATTGACAGGGCTTTGACTGGAATGTCATATCTGAAGATTAAACCAGAAAACTATAGAGCCAAGGTAAATCTCAAGTAAGCCAACAGAAGCTCTTGGAAAGATGGCCTGGCACCATGAACAGTTCTGCCTGGCAGAAAGGATTAGAGAATTTATATGAAAGAATTGGTACCATAAAATGACCTGGACTTTTCCAGTCCTGCATTGTAATCAGTAAAGATTGCAAAAGAGCAGTCCCAACCAGAGATTTGTCTTGAGGAAGACGTTGAAGGAAGAAAAAGAGACCGATCTTTGCTAGCAGATGGTATATGACAGAATACCTGGTAGAGCAGGGCTGAGTTGAGAAGGTTTATGTGTGAATTGTGTACGGAGTGTTTGCTTTTCAACAGTCTGAGTAGTTGACATGTAAATATTTTCTCAAAATATTTAAAACCATATTGTCTCTGTTATAGAGTCACAAACAAAATTATAACATATTTTGATGATTATCTTTAAACTCAGTTTCTTGAAATTTTGAAAGTTGTATATGAACTGTCAAGAACTATGGAGCATGAGCAGAAATTTTTTTTATATGTAAAGTATATGTTTGTGGGAAAATGTAAAAATAAATATTAAAAAAATAAATAACTAGATAAATTTTAAAAATAAAAAGAAGCATGAGAGGAGAGTGGCCAAAATGAGCCTGAAAAGGTATTCACACTGAACAGACTGGTAGGTCATGGGAAAACCTTTGAACATTATCTACAGGCAACCACAAGCCTCTAAAGCTGTTATTCAGGTGCAAAACCAGAAGAGATTTGTATTTTGAAACATCTCTGGGACTGTGCAGTGAAGGGTTAGAAGGGAGACACAGGAAGATGGGGAGACTGTGGTGGTGTTGATAGAGAGGAAAAGAAAGAGATGGAGTTGAAAAGTGTTTAGGAGGTAGAATTGACAGGTCTTGGTGATGAACTGAATGAAGGGAATGAGAAAGAGTACCCAGGATGA